ACGACCACACTATATATATATATATATATATATATATATATATATATATATATATATACACATACACACTGTACGATATGAAGGCAAGGAAGGGGTCGCGAAATGTGCGCACGCGACACATTTCCAAGTCGGTCGAACGATCGAATCTCTCGATTTGACGACGGTGAATCGAAATTACCACGGATAGAAATGGAAGACGAAAGGATTGAGAGGATACGTCTGGATGGGATTGAGGGGATACGAGCGCGCGAGCAATCGCGAAAAATTGTCGCGGACCTTGATATCTGAATATCGACGACGAGTTGGGGCGAAGTTGGGGTGGGATTCGATCCGAGCTCGATAAAAATTCTCCCGATTTTTCGCGCCACCGCCGATCCAGGGGATCAACGCAGTTTCAGTCAACTTCTCTCGGCCGGGAAGCCTTAAATACGAGCGGCGCGAGTCGGCGCGACGTTATGGAACTTATGGGGAAACTTTGAATGGGACCTACCAATTCTTCGTGTCTCGCTTATAAAGAACGATAAGTAGCGGGAGATTGTGAAAGGGGAGAGAGAGAGAGAGAGAGAGAGTGCGAAAAGAGAAGAACTGTTACATGTTAGAGGGCGTACGTTACGGTTTCGGCGACCCCGTCCAAATAAATCCAATTTTCAACCGCGAAGAAGTAGAAGAAACTTTCGCAACGTCTCTGCTTCTTTTATCTCTGGTTCTGCTATTACTTGACAATTATTCTCCGCCGTATGAAGTAGCAGTCATAAGCCGCTTTCTGTACGTCCACTGTATTTTTCCATCACTGTTTCACTTCATATTACAACGTAATGCGTAGACACGTAGAACTCGTTGAAATAATTCGACGAGTTGTGGATAAACGAACGTAGTAGTACATTTCTTGCGACGACCGACGCAAAATTCTAATAAACCATTCCTTGTGTCCGTCGAACAGAGAGGTACTTGTTTCTTCGCGCAATGTAACAAAGCAAACTTTGTTTCTCGATAATTAAAAAAACGATATTAGGAAATAGCACTGATATAATATCTGATATCGAGTGTATACAACAATCCATCCGTACACGAGTTATTGTCAGGTAAAAATTCCCTCGACACAAAATCCCTCCCCTCCTCTCCTCGTACACAAGACTCGGAAACGAGATGGCAAGAAATTTCCTTTCCGTATCGTAGAGTTGACATTAAGGTGGGGAGAAACGGCGACCGATACGGTGTCTATGGAGAAGAAACGTTTCCTCGAGGCGATGCCTCTTACACGGGCAGAGCAGCGTTACGTGGGTGGAAAGCACTTCTTCCCGTAGCGTGGAAAAGCATCTCGGCCCGCATTTTCAATTTATGGCTCCGATACATGGCCCCGAATTTATGGCCATTCTCAAAACCCAAATACTTCACCCGTCCACGAGTCTTTGTGTGCGTGCGTACTCGGCGACATCGGCAGACGCGATAGTTGAAGGATCGGCAACAGTCGGGAACGCTGCTCGAGTTTCAATTAATTTGGGGAATCGTCGTTCCGTTTGTTTGCTCCGCAGAGTTCTGCGCGGTTGCAAAATAGCCATTCGATGATCCGGCCGAGTTTTCGTCGCGATTGCGAACGAGTCGCTTTTCCATCGATAAATTTTGGATCTGGAAAATTTTCGTTTCTAACGATAGAGATAGAGATAGGGTTTTTCGAAGATTGGATTGGAACGATAGAAGGGAAATTTTTGAGAGAGTTTTGTATAATTGTACGCGTTTCACGAGTGAATTGTTATTTTACAGATAGGGACGACGTATAATATTTGTGTTTATTATAAATATGTCGATTTTTCACGAGCAGAGAGAACGTAATATCGAATTAAACAAGTTACAACTCGTGGGAAATACAAATGTAACAATGATGCTTTGTTGAAGTTGTTGGTTATAATTTTCGATCGAAAATATACGTATTCAGGAATTAACACGTATTTTATTATCGATTTTATTCGTGTTATATATACGTTGATACGAGCGGGAATAATATAATTGAAATAACAGGGGAAGAAAGAGCAATGAGAAATTTAAAAATATATATAATATACGAAATTGTCATTATCCGACGATACGAGTCGAATCGTGAGAATTTGTTGGAAAATTCCAGCACGAGGGCGTGTCTTCGTCCATTCCCGGAATTCCTGCGCCCGCATCTCCTCTCTTTTTCTTTCTTCAAACAGGCGAGAGCAACTTTTAGCCGTGGAACACGTCGGTCGCGACGATGACGTACTTCGACCATCATTACAAACGTTTGAACACGAGGGAAACGGTAGTCGGCATTTTTGAGTGCACTCCCGTCCACGGGATAGAAACACGTGTAATGGAAGAAGGAAAATATAGAACGTTCACGGAAATGGCCACGTAATGTCCGGGCAAGAAGAGAGTTAAAAACAACCGCGTAAAAAAAAGTCAAACAAGTCCGTATTATCGTGCAATGTCGTTTTGAAAAAAAGGAAAACACACACACAGGAGTAAAAGAATTAATATGATCAAATATTGAAAAGACGATGAAAGGATTTCTCCTCTCGTCAACAGTCTTTCTGGAACAAAATCACGTAAAGAATAATGGAGGACATTTCTGGAAAAACGCGATTTACGCGACCTTTATCGATAAATTGTTTTTAACTCTTTCGTTATTCTCGTAATCCCACACATACTTAATGTAATACATTCTCTCCTTTGACACGTTTTACGATATTCGTCAATTCTCAACGAGAGAAAAGGGACCCCTTTCCGCTCGCCTTCTACAAAAGATTCGATCGGCTAAACAAATTGGAATTCTATCGTGGATCAGGGGCGCGATAAAGGGAACAAGCTTTTGCTCCACCTTCTTATGAAAAATCGCGAAAATTACGTAATTCTTCCAACTATTTACCCTTTCTCCAGGAACGAGGGAGGCGAGAAATAAATCCAAGAAATCGTAGAAACGATTCATTCGAGCTCATTGGCTGAATGAAAGCGAGAAGAAGAAGAGGAAGAAGAAGAAAAAGAAGAAGAGGAGGAAGAAGAAGAAGAAGAAGAAGCCTTTAAAGGGGGAATATTTCAAAAATGCTGACCGAACTTTATCTTTCCGATTCCACGGGACCTATATATCCTGGTCGAAAAGCTGGAGAAGGAGAGGGCGAAGGAATCGCCTCGTGTCTCCGTGTACGTGGCCCCCATCTCTCGCCTCCATATAACTCGCCTCCTCCTCGTCGTGTAGATGCAATCGGCCGCTCATGTGTCGGTGAAAAAGGACTCATATCGCAGAGCCCTCGAGTGTAACAGCGTTCCCCGTTACTCATATCTCGCATTATTGGAATTTAAGCTCGGTGGCTGGCTCGACCTTGAATCGACGAACGAACGTCTTCCTCTCGTCCTCCATTCCCCGATAACGACCAAAGGAGAAGATGCACGCTTAAGGGACGCTCGGCGGCAGCCGAGGCTCCTTTTCATCGAATACCTTTATACCATTCAACTGTCTTTCAAAGGGAGGAGGGGAGAGGGAGAGGGAGGGCGAACGAAGGGTGGAAGGTAGTCGCGTCACGCGGACTGGAATAGGATGTCAGAGTCAGACGACGGGGGAGTCGGAATCGATACGTGCCGGTTCCGTGAGAGTATCGAAGAAGAGAAAAGTTGAGGTGACGATCGGTTCAACGTTTGACCGGATACGCGGTGAAAAATTGCGTTTCGATCTTTTTCTTGGTTTTTTTCTCTCGCGAAACTTGATTTTGATTTCGTCGTATCGAGAAATTTGGTTGTGGCTCAAATTGCAGGGATAATAGGTGGTTAGAAGGTCGTCGTTGTGTCTTCGAAATGAATTTTTCCGTGAAAGAACACGAAGATAAGCGACGAGGATAGATCTTACTGCTCCTACATGCATCTTCGTAGTTTCTTCGTATTTCTGCCTTTCTCAATAGCGGAGATCAGTCACGAATCTCGAAGTCTTTAGAAAGTTGGAGTTGGTAGTAGTTCGCTGCCTTGACGCGTTTCGTTCGAATCTTGATCTGATCTGGGATTAACTATTAATCGATCATCCTTCGATCCAGGGGCGGAATAAAAATGTTAAAACGAAATAATTTCTAATAGATTTCGCAAATAAATTTACGACCCATCGATTCTACGTATGCACAATTGATTGATCAATATTCGGCGGATAAAATTCACGACTCGAGTTTCTCGAATCTCGCGGATAACGAACGAAAAGGACGGTTCCGGAACAATCTGGCGCAAAGTGGATCCCGCGAAAGGCAGGGGCGTAATGGTTACTCGATTAACGAACAGCTTAAACCGCTCGAAAAGCCGCATAATCCGCATCGTTCTTAAATATAATGGGCAAACAATTTCGCGGGAACATCGGTCGGTTTACCCACGGACGTGAACCCCGGGTTCACGTTTTTCGTTCGTCGTCATCGTCGTCGACGTGATGGTGGGCGCCGTCGTTGGTGGTAGTAAATTAAATCTGTCGGATTATGAAACGGGAGTAGAGCATATATGCATAAGGACGGGTTTACATTCGATTCGCGTGGAGGGGTTCGTATCGTTAACCTCCGTCGCGACGAAAACAAACGATTTCGTAATGGAAATTCGCGGTTCATATTTCCACGGAGGATTCTTCCTCTCTCGAATCGGCCTCGAATCGAACCAGTTGTTCCAGCAAACAGACTGCTTCCAAATGCTTTCGAAATCTTGCAAATATTTTGCGACCCGCGTCGCGTGTATATCTTCGTTAACTTCGTTCTCCCGTTTGTGTGTATGTATGTATAGATATTCGCATGAAAAATAGAAAAAAAAAAAAAAAAAGAAAACGATAACACGAGGAAGAGATAGAGTATCGCGGAGAGAAAAGTTTCCACGTAAGCTCTTATTTCTGCTCCTCATAACGATCAGCTGTTCCCTCCTTCGAGTCGAGGTGTACAACTCCTCGGGGAGCGGAGAAAGGGTGGTCGTCTATCGAGTTTCGAGAAAGAAAATCGAAATTACGACTCGGTGGTAACGTCTCGATTGCGCCATTGGGAGGAGAGTGTCACTCGATTCGGAGGAGGAGGAGAATCTTCGTGGCTCGTCTCTTGTATCGAGGCGTCGCGATGATTAAGTGTCTTATCGAGGAGGGACGATTAATTGCCATCGTACTTGTCACGAGGAAAAGAGCCACTAACGTTCCGCGTGACGGGGCGGCAAAAAGCGAGACTATGGATCGAGCGGAGGCGGCGAGCTTCCCTGCAAAAAAGCTAAGCCACGGGGAAATAACTATGCCAATTACGATTTTTATCGCGGCGCTACCTCTGCGCCCCTAAAACCGTGCGAATAGCTGCGCTACAAAAATCGCAGCGAACGTAAAGCCGAATAACGCGTAATGAAAAGTGCTCGCGCGCGCCGTGAATTATGGATCTAGTTACGCGGCAGTTGTTTATGAAGTTAAGAGGGGAATACAGCGCGGATGATACCCTCCCCCCGATTTTTAAACGCAATTTCGCGACGAGCGAAATGATGATAAATAGAAATTGATAGTATTTTTCTAGAAGTGATTTTATGAAAAATCTCGACGTGAAGAATCTCGCCTCGTGGGGTAAAGATTGAAGTTTCTTTTTCCAAAGGATGGAAAAGGATATTCTTTCTATGCGATCGAACGAAAATTGTCGTCGTTAACGATCGATTGGAAAACAAATATGACCAACAAACAATCGAACACGAAGGAGGAATAAAAATAATATTACGAATCGACCAATTAAAATTATCGACGTAATTTTATATTTAACTGAGGAAAGTAAGAAAGAAAATTGGAGATCCAGATAGCTTCGAAGGCAATATCGAAGGAGTGGGGAGGAGTGCAGAAGAGAGCGAGATACGATCTTAAGCGTGTTCTCATTATTGAAAATTGATTTGAATGGCATTCTCGTAACGAGAGCTATCTCGATGAAAATTGACGATGATTCGCGAAAGATGAAACGAAAAAAAAAAAAAAAGAGAAAAAAGAAGAAAACGAGATTCGAATCTTAGGAAAGCTATATACCGTGCTATATATCCGCGAGTAAAACGGGTGGTGGACCGGTTATTTATTGGCGGCCCGTAGCGCGCATATCGGCGGTACAATCTTGGCCCGGGAGGGCAGAAAAAGCTGAATGCGCACGATACAACCACGTAAAGGGAGGAGGAACGAAGCTCACGTGCTCACGCCACGTTAAACTTTCAATGGTTCGACTACTTTAATACCATCTGGAAAGTGTAGCAGCCTACGAAGAAGGAAGGGAGGAAGAGAGAAGACGAAGAAGAAGAAGAAAACGATGGAATTTCTTGGCTCCAGCCTCCACAGTGTCACTGGTTACGCGAAAGTTACCCCTCGACTCTGGAATTTCTTCCTCCATGCCTCCACACACACTCTGGGCATAATTTGACTTATTATTCATACCGGTTTACTACGGTGAACCACTCCTCCCCCCCCTCGTGCATCTAATAAATGCCGACAATGCACGACAAACACTACCGGTTATAAATTAAATTCATAATTTATTCGTGGCCCGGGTCACAGACGTGAAACACCAGACTGACGTATCTGGAACGAAACGTGTTCCAACTCGTTCTTGGCGCGTCTCGCTCGAGAAACGAGATTAACGGCGGGAAGATTGACGTAGTATTATCTCTATTAATATCTCGGAATCAAGGAATCTCGGGACGTCGGTTGAGATCAACGTTAAACCAAATGGAACACCCGAGAAAGGTGTTTTCGGGGATGGAAAGGTGGCTGAAACCCATAAGCTTCCGTCCTCGTTTTCCTTCATCTCGGACGGGGAGTATGGCGGCGAGTAGCCGATCTTCGATTCCGGTTATTACGTCCTAAAATCCCCTCCTTCCCTTAACCGATCTTCCATCCGAAATAGCTTTGGAGACGGCTCGAATTTCGTGGATGATGATCGAAGAAACGGTGGGGGAAAGAAAAAGAAGAAGAAGAAGAAGAAAAGAGAGAAAAAGAGAGCGGAATGAAAAGGAGAAAGTAAAAAAGAAAGAAAAAAAAAAACGAACGACTATGAAAGCTTTTTCAGTCTCACCTTACCCCGACACAGGTAGCTCGTCAGCCCAAACTCGAGCCACTCCTCCAAAGTCGGCGGGTTCAATCTGATTCCAAGGAATTGGATACAATGTCTGGGCTTCGCCACGAACCGATTCGAAAGGTCCGACAATATCAGACTCGTCCCCCTCGATCCACGCCGCTCGGTTTGCATCCGATACGCCCTTTTCCACTTTTTCCTACGCCCTCTTTCCCTCCATTTCGAACGACGGGGCGAGCGTTCATTGTGCGCGGGATCGGTGGATGAAAGCGGACCGTGTAATATCGGACTGTTCCGTTGGAAATTGATCGACTGCTTGCCATTACCATTCACCTCGAAATTCCTTCACGACGACGACGACGACGACGAACGAGGTCTATTTAGAAACAGAACGGCAGTAATCGACCGAATGCTGTGGCCTTATATCCTCTACGTGTGTATGTATATGATGACCTGGGCAAAATTCTATTTCGGTTTACATTACGATCGAAACGTCTTACGACGGATATAAGCCAGGAGCAGAGTTTCAAATTTGAAAAATTCAAGGAGAATTGAAATAAAGATTTTCCTAAATTTACGAGCGAATCTGTTCCCTTTCGTTGCAAGAAAAAAAAAAAAAAAAAAAAAAGAAGAAAAAGAATCCTAAATTATTCTTAGATAAAAATTTTATTCAGAAAGAATAATTTAATATTCTTGTCTAGGATTCGAAATATTATTATTATTAATTAGTCGCAATAAATATTTAGGAAGAAATTTCGTGCGAAACGAGTCGAGGGAAATTAATTAAACATTGCCATTAATTCTGTTTATTAATCGAACGATAAATTCTTCTGAAATAACTTTGTCGCTTAACCACCGACGAAATAAACGATATTAAAATCGGTTCCACGCGTATAAATAATCGACAATTTCACGATTAACTAGAAACAAAAGAGACGTTTGATGTAAATATCATGGAATATCGAAATTGCCGTTTATAATTGCCTTCTAAAACGTGTTTCATTGACGACCAATGAAAGAAAAACGTCGAATATCGTTTTCAGGTTTCGATCACAGGTAATAGATCGCATCTTTCCACGCATTCCTTCGACCAATTTCTGCAACAGAGCAATAGACATCTATCAAAGAGAGAGAGAGAGAGAGAGAGAGACTATTTTCGAGACACGTCTGAAATTTAATTACACCTCGTATCACGATCCTCGATCGTTCGAAAGAATCGAAGACGATCAGACGACGATCAATTCGACTTTTCTCAACATTCCCAAACCCAATCTAACGATCACGGGCATCGAACGCTTGGGGGGAAAGTTATATGAAGACGAAACACCGAATTGGACGACACGTTTCGAATTTTCGTGCAAAATATTCGCCGTGATGTCCGTAATTGTGTTACGCGCAAAATCGTTCGTGGAAAGAACGTAATCAGGTCGAAAGTAATAAACGTTGTCGCGGGCGATAGATCGATCGTGGCTACGTTTTCGTCGTTCAGTAGCGGTAATTATAATAAAAAACAACGAATATCGTAGAATTTTCTAACGAGTTTGAGCGATGAAAAATAATAACGGCAAGCGTAATTAACGCCAGACGATCTTTGAATTTCTTTTTTCTTTTTAATTTTAAACGCGATAGAGAAATGATTATCAATCTTTATATAACTTTTTTAATTTTCGAAATTTTTCAAAAATACGTGTCACCGATTATATCTTCATTAAATCTAATCATTTGGTTTAAATACAGATTTAAATACTAATTGTATACATTGGCTGATAAATTTAAAAGTTCTTTTTCTCCTTTCCCAATTGAATTGATCAAATTGTTTCCCGAATAATTGTTAGATTTTATCGAAGTAACAGGGACAATAATTTCTACAACAAATAACTTCATCTCTTCATATTTTATCTAATGCAATAACAATAAAATAATTATTAATTCAACTTCTCTATTGATCTTATCGAGCGATAATTTAACAAATGAAAACGTTTAAAAATCTTTCTACAACAATACGAATACACGACGATAATTCTAACGTTAACAGCACTCTGCCAATAGCCAGCTCGAAGCATTCAATGCACGTATTTATACGTATCGAGATAAAAGGGAGGGAGAGAGAAAAAAAGATAATAAACTCGAATATAAAAGCGGAATTAAATCGAACGCCATCCTACTCGAAAATGTGATCGTAGTGAAAAATCAGCGGGCGAAAATTTCCATCTCGATTTTCGGTAATATTCCGGCTCCGGTTTATTAGATACATTTTAACGACGAAACGAAACATTTTACATTAAAACGGGACACGGTCGAAAAATTTCCACGGACGAAACGTCCTTCCGCGTTATATTGTTCCCGGATCTATCCCGTTAAAATGGTGAATAATATTTGGCGGCAAGGGTGCGCGTGAAACGCACGTGCGTGCATGCGTGCGTGCGTGCGTGCGTGCGGTCGGATCGCGTGACAGCACAACGTCAAACGAACGAATTACGCGGTGGACGGGCGCGTATATCCGGGATAAACCGGCCGTGCCAGAAACCTTTCCATGCGAAATTTTCAACTATCCCACGATATCCGACAAATAATGGCAATTCCTGATATAATGGAATCGACTGATCCGTTGATTCCGGCCACGGGTTACCGCGATTCCGTATGTCAATGTCTCTTTCCTCGGTAATCCCGACGATCGAAAGTAATCGGTTTTTGGCAATGGTTGTTAACGATAAGTTTTGCGAGCTGTTGCTTTTATATGCGTTTATTATTCGGATTGTTATTCGAAACTCAACGATAATGTTGTTGATGCAAATTTGGAAGAAATTTGGAGAAAATGTTACGATTTAATATTAATCGCCGATCAATTTTAATCGTGTTCGTCGGAAATTTTGACGAGTAAGGGGAACGAGACGGTAAAATAATAATTAAAGATTCATGATGATTTTGATAAAATTTCTGAAGGAAAGTTCAGAGGGCAATGGTTATATGTGGAACAATTTTTTTTTCCTACTATTTTTCATTTTTTTATTTAAGTATAACTTCGCAATGATATAAAATGGAAGCAAAATTATTTAACTATTAGCGTTTTATCGCTTTTATTGTAAAAAAAAAATTGCTAGGAAAAAATTCATATTCAGAAACTGAGAAAAAAAAAATTGTTGCGCGTGTAATTTATCGTGTTCCACACAATTTTTCATTGAAATCAGAATTCATTAAAATGAACACTTTCGCGAATTATTACATAGATACTTGTCGCAAGAAATTAATACAAATTTACATTTGGAGGAAAAAAAAAATTGAAAGAAAGATTGTATATAATAAAATGTACACGATATCATAGAAACAAAATAATGTTACGAAAAATCGAAATTGACACACTTACGTCATATATTTTCTCTGAACTCTTCAATTTTAAATTTTAAATAAAGAAAAAGTTACTCGAAAAATAATTTTTCATTTTTTATATATCTATATATATATCTAATTATAGTAGCTCGTTATTTCGATTTTTTTTCTTTTTATCACAATTTCTCCCCTCCCGATCATTTCTCGAATCGAACGCTTTATAATCGAACAATCCCATCGAATCGCGAAAAACGTACGACGATATTATATTGTTTCTAAAAATATATGCGCCGCCGTTCTTCAAATATTTACCACCGCAGCCTCGCTCCTTGTCTTCCTCTTCGGATGGAATCACGTTCACCCCGTGTCATCGCGCGGCTGAGAAAATCTCAAAATTGAAATTTAATCTCGAACCGAGTTGGCCAGCCGGAACAGAACCGGGAAGAGACAGAGAAAGCAAACGTCCCTTTTCTTCGCTGTTGTATTCCCTCGTCTCTGCCGACGACGAATTATCCACAGCACGTATTTATCGGGGAAACTCCGCGGCGAGAAAGAGATTCTCGGTGTTCGCACCGTTCGCGGATCCAATGACACTGTCGTTATTACGAGCCAGATACGTGCAAGCACGCCGAGATCGAATCAAAGAAGATAGAGAAAGAGAACAGAAAGAATTCTGGATAAAGATGGGGGAGAAGCGCAAGAAGAGGCAAAAGAGAAAAAAGAGAGGGAAGGAAAAAGATATCGCAAGCTCGGTCGATAAAATACAAACAGAGACAGAGGAGGGACAGTGCATAATGTAAATGAAACCACCTCGATGGAGAGGCGGCGCGGCACCTGAATATTTTTCCATCTGCATCGCGGAATACAGATATTCAAGAGGCATCTGCCCTGCCTCCCCTCCCCTTATATCTGCCATCTACCCACCCACAGATCCGTTCCATCGTATACGATGGGTAGAGGAGGAGCAGTTCTTCTTATAGAACCGAACTTCGACCGTTCCGCTCCTCCTTTGCCATTCTCCCTTTCCCTGGCCCCAGACTTCGGGGAAGTGGTACGTGGGCGAAATTTCAACGTGACGAGCATACAGTGTCCTCTCGGCTACCTCTCCTCCCCGTCCAACGCCTCGCTACTACCTCATCTTTCCTGCTGCCCCACCATCCCCATCCTTGGGGTACGCCTATCCCCCGATGCGACGCGAAAATTGGCGAAACAGTTTTCAAAACTCTGTGTGTGTGTGTGTGTGTCGGCAAAATTTCGATCGATTATTAAAATTTATAAAGAGGAAACTGATTCGTCTTCGTTCAAAAACTCATTTGTCCGATGACGATCATTTCTTTCACTTTCTATATTCCTATCGATTCGCATTATTAGATTCTTCTAGGGGTTCCTTTATTTCGCTGGGAAAAATATTAAAATCTTTTAAAGAAACGGTACGTGAACGTGTTCTCCTCGACGCTCTTCAACGATCGATTCCTTGTTATCGATACGATGAATCTTATTAATAATTTCGACGCACGCGCGTAGAACAGAGGAAGATGCAACTTCTCGAGAAGCTGAGCGTTGTCCGTATATAAGCAATTTTACGATACACATCCTGCAGAATTCGGATTTCAATCGGAGCGAAACTGGAAGTTAGACCGAACGCAACGAGCTATCCGCTCCGCTTATCGATTATCGTTAACTTTTGTCTATCGTTAACTTTCGTCTATCGACGCAACCAACCATCTCCCTCAACGCTCGAAATCGAATATCCGACGATCGGTCGGCTCAAAAGCTTTTATCGTCATCGTCTCGTGACCGGGAGAGAAATTCTCATCGAGAAGAAAACAGGCGACGAAATCAGGGTGTCTAATTAAAATCAACGGGAACGAGCCGCCATAAGTAAATCCACGCCAACTTCCACATGCAAATGAACGTCACTTCGTGACGAGAATGCGCTCCTCGAGCACCGTCACCTCGAACGGTCTCCATCGCCGCCGACTGACAAGCGCATCGACCAAGGAGTCGGCTCGTTCACAGGAGAGAAACATTTCGCCGCTGAAACGTGATGAATTTCACCGCTTTATTTCGTTCGCGCAAGAACGTTTTCAATTCGTTTCACTGCAAACGTCCGAGCAGTCCTCTTCTTCATCTTGAATCATCAGTCCAGGTAAACGAAGTATTGGAAAGAACAAAGCGTTACTCCCTCTCTCTCTCTCTCTCTCTCTCAATCATCGAACAATTCGAGGACGAAACGAAAGTGTTATAAAAACGAATAGGCGAAAATTGGAATGGAATGAGGGAACAATCGGAGCAATATGCAACAATGAACGTCGTCCATCGTCCATTGGACACGACGAGATAAAGAAATAGGAGGAGCGGAACGAAGACGGAAACTGGTTCTGAGCACAGAACCACGGCCGACGTGAAGGATTTTGCACCGGTCATCGTTTTACCCATCGTTTTACGCCACTGAACGGTCGAATAGGAGGCGAGATTGGCGAAGTGGTCGACAGCAAGGCTTCTGAATCGAAGATTAATTGCACGATTCACCGGCTCTCGCCAATGGGCCAGGATTCTCCCGTGGCTTAAGCAGACACGATGAAACACTTTCGAAGCCGCGAGACAGACACGGTGGCTGGCAGGCAACGCCCCCTCGCGATTCACGAATTTCTCAACCTATCGTCGTCCCTTCGAGATCTATGGTTATGTTAATTGTACCTAAGCTTTCGATCGAGCGTTTATCCACTTATGGAATCATCCGTACGAAAATCGAACTATTTGCTCCGATTTATCCGCCCTATTCGTTGTTTCTACCTCAACTTGTAGAGAAATTCTCTTTAACCTTTCCTATCTAACTTCGTTACTTCGTTATTCATCCTTGAACTTTGACCTCACCTCAAGATCCCTCCCCTCTCAGTCAGAATATTTCGCATAGTTCCATAAGTAACATAAAAACGTTAATTTCAGTTTTAAGTTTATTAAATCTCTTTCATAAATACGCAGTGATAAATATAATTTTAAGAATTATTTTATATAAAAATAAGAAGGGAAACAACAACGAAATGTTCGACAACATTTGCAGTTCCAATTTTAATTCGTAGAGAAATTTTTACAGAGATATCTCTTTCTTCGACTACAACTCATTGTATTCTCACGCACCGAAAATAAGTATTTCTTCCAAAGGAAGTAAACCTCGAGCGAGAATTTCCCACGAAGATTTCCCTCCGCGAGAAGATATATATATATATACATACACGCGCGATACGAAGACGAATATAAAGTGGAAGGAAACCGAATCGCGGGTTTTAAACGGCGAATAACTCCGGCAATCCGATAGTCTCGCGGTATCCAGAGATATACGAGCGTTCGGGGCGGGTGGTCGCGAGGAAACGTGGGGTGTAAGCGAGCGACTTTTTGGCGCGCGACATGAATTATTTGGCCGACAGGGCGGCTCGATAAATTTCACTCCCCCCGTTGTTCAAAGGGGAAAGTATCAAAGTTCGTCGACGCGAAAGAAGAAGAAAACGCAACACCTGTTAGCTACGTGCTTACGCCATTAAGAACTTATTTTAAAATGCTATGCATAGGAAAATGCGAATTCCGCGATGCATCTCCTTCTGCGTGTACCGCTCTTATCATTTTTCTCCCCTCCTCTCCGTCGACAGTTTACCGATATTTTTATCGTCTCGGCCGAAAAATAGGAATTTGAAAGAAGCGCGCGGGGGGAATCGAAAAGATGAGAATTGAGAGAATAATAGGAATAATAATTATAATTGTTCGACAAATTTTCTGCATTCTTAAGGATTGCTCTCGCGATCTCCTCTCATTAAAATTTACAATTTACACAATTTCTTTCGAACGTATAATAACGATTCAAATAATTATCGAAAATAGATCCGCTCTTATTCCCAAACATTTCATCTATTCTTTTATTCAATTAACAGCGAGCTATCGACACGTTCGATAAAATATTTAAAACGAGTGAATCGGCAAATCGATTTGGAAATTAGTTGATTGACGATCAACTTAACGAATCCGGGGATACGAGCGCCGATACGATGATAAATAATCGAAAGATCGGTGACGTTTCGACGTCAATATCGAGCGAAATATATGTACAGAGTGTCGTAAAAGTAGACTATCTCGGTTTATCGCGGTATTGTCTCGATATATATTAAAGCGTCGGTCGTATCGATACCAGAGATTCGAGTCGTCTACGTCCTCTCCTCTCCTTAACAGTACGCGTATAATCTTTCATCTTCGATAAAAATTGAGCGGCGTCATTGACCCGTAACGACCTCGTGACGAGTCCAAATTGCGCGAAAAATAATAAATAATAATAAATTTATACGCTTTAGAATTTTTTCGAAACGGTTTCCAATCGATCGCGTATCAAAATGAAGACAAAGTTTGGTTTTCGCGCGACACGTTCAACATCGTACGCCTCGATTTCTCGATTGTTTCAGAGGAACAAAGGGGGAGAGGAGGAGGAGAGAGGAAAGCCGTAAGCCTCTTGCAGAGACTGTAAACACTGGGATCAATTTAAACTCGGATCTCCGAGTGTTTTTTTTTTGTGGATCGAAAAGAGGGAATATTTTTGGCTAAGCATTTTATCATGGTCGCAACGCGTCTTTTGGTTTTAATGGCGCAATAAGAACGATCCACGGCGTGAGTTTAATAAGGGAGACCTCGCACTTTTTCCGGTCCAGGTGCTATTTAACAAGCGTGCCCTGATTTAATTATCGTTTTAATTAGAACAGAGGGAAAGAACTGTGATGACCTGGTGAGCATCCAGCATTGGAATATGAGAATTAGAGGGTGAATATTTGGTCTTGACGGGAAAGAAAAGAAGCGTTGAATGATACATATGGAACAAATATTTAGAAATCGATTTAATTTTCTATTAGACGAGGTAGATAGGAAAAGGATAAGATGAAACGATTCAAGCTGATCGATCGACAGTACTATACAAGTCTAATTTATCTAATTTTAAACGTGTGTATCCCAGAAGTTTAATGATTCAATTTTTATTTCATGTTTTATTAATATTTTAGAAGTTGATTAAACAATATTTTAATTAAAATGATACGAATAGTATGCTGTCTTTAAAATTTTCATTAGTCCGACTTATAAAATGTTGGCTAAAGTTTAACCAAATGTATCTATTGTAATTAATAGATACGAATTATCGAATTACACATTCCTGTCCCTGAGGAGCACAATTTTGACACTCTACGTCAATTTTTGTAGAGAGAGAGAAGAATTTTGATCGAAAAAACATCCAACCAGAGTTTCGTTGATCATGTTCGACATTGAAAGATACACAACAAAAAAAAAAAAAAGAAAAAAACAGTAGTACGGATGGATCGACGCGCGGATTCAACATTAACATTCACCAGGATCGAGGTGAAACTGTCGAAATATTCCTGGCAGCGTAACACAAAAGCGCATAAGGTTGAAACATTTTTTACCGGCCTCTTTTTAATCAAAGGATGCTTTTTCCCTCTCTGGTTTCTCTCCGTCTCCCTCTCTTTCTCTCTCTCAGGTATTGTCGTGCATCGTTGATACGCGTTTGCACGCATCCTTTGAATTGCGCCGACAGAAACGACTATCGAACGGCTGCTATTGCAGGCGCACTGACGTCGATTCGATGCGATTCTCTTTTTGAACTCTTCCGGGGAAAAAACGGATCGTCAGGAAACCACAGCAACAAGGGCTTGGCTGCATTTGTGTGTCTTTTACCAAAAAAAAAAAAAAAGAAAAAAGAAAGAAAAAAAAAGAAAAAGAAAAACGAAAAGAAAGGAAAAAGAGAGGAAAGAGCAAGAAGAGCCACGCGCACAAATGCGTTCGGCAATGGATGCGAAAAACCCATGAACGATTGAAAATTCCGTCGAATATCGCGCGTTACGAATATTTCTCATATCTTCCGACAATTCGAGTGGAAATTTTACACGATTCTGTAAGAGAGAGAGATATATATATTACATATTGATCATTAAAGATTTATTATTTCCGGAAATTTTTCGTTTTGAAAGGACACTATGTAGATTAGATATCTCAATAATTTTATCACGTTTAACATCAGATTAAAGATTAATTAATTAAAAAAATCGTCTCACTTTGAGTTCATTAATCATTAATCTTATGATTATCGGTAGTTTGCCCGTCCAATTAATAAATTAATAATACCGATTCAAACGTTAAAATCATATTTTCATTTATCGAAATTAATTCATAAATACCAGGATAACGGACAAACACGTTTGTTTTGTGCTATTATGTAAATCCCAACTTTAATTTTCATCTCTTAAAGCAAAATACGTAAACAATAGTATTATTAATATTACTAAATCATTGACAGTTTTCAGCTCACTTTTTCAAAAACTGTCGCAGACACGAAAGATGCGAAATCATGTACGTACATTAAGTAACGTAAAAGTTAAAATTGAAGCAAGTTGGTATTCGCAGGATTCTTTGTTTTTCGTTTCCTTTAATAGGATCCGAGTTTCTCGCATAATACGTACATTCTCCCGCGAACTTTAAAATATCCTTGTCCCATAATACAAACTTCGCAACTGCGTATTTGAAAAAACAAAATAATCGACAAGGATACACGGACGAAAATTTTCTGCAGAAAATTTTCCGCTTTGCAACGAACGAAGGCAGCTTTAATGGATCCACTCGAAGTGGCTCGTAGCTCCGAGCATTTTACTCCGACCCCTATTATTCACCGAATACATTTGTTAACCGACGTTATTGCCGGCGTCCTGTGGTTAACATTTCCCTCATCGGTGAACTCTGATTAATCAGTGATTCTACGTAAAAAAAAAAAGAAAAAACACTCACTCTCTTCCCCATCTTTGCTACTCGAATTTAATAGTTGATACAAATTTCATCGTTGTTTCCATCGCTTTGTATTCTCGAAAACAATTGAATTGAGAACTGAGAGTCACGATGTAGAGTTTTTCAAGGATGGACCGTTGTTGAATTCGTACGAACCCTCTTTGCACGAAACTTGGATGATTTTATTCATACACTTTGAAGTTGTGAATGTTAAATCGAATGTTAAAAAGTAGAAGACGAGTTGAAACTATATAAGAGGAATCAAATTCTTTCCTTTAATATCGACCGTTAAATATTATATATCCTTGATCCCTTTAAAGAAGCTTCAAAAGTGTTCCACAAATATGTTAATCTGTATATTTGGTGCAGAATTAAATATCAACATTTCTGCCGACGTCGACTTTCGAATTTATTTCCATTTCTAAAATCGATCGTTCACGAATATATAGATCGCTTAATAACACTCAGGCGATTCGTAATCACTTTCGATCGACCCTCGTTACAGGATCTTTCCTCCTATAAGTTGAATCAATCACTAACCCCAAGATCTTGTTCCATTAATAACGAGGGGATATAAAATGCACAAACTCGGATATTTTCGCTCGTAGCCCGACATTCACCCGGCGTCCACCCGGCTCTTATAAATACGTCAACCATAAATCTCCCTATTTGCTGCCACTACTTTTACCCGGAGAGGGTGAATCGATACGTCAGAGCGAAACCTGTCGTCCAGACTCGAGCCAGACTCTCCTGAACCGCGTTTCGTGGTCACATAAATAACCATTATACACACGTAGCCATTACGTTTGCCGTGCACGCGTCTCGATCCCCTCGGCCCATCCCTCCCCCATCAACCTTCGTTCCCTCTGCTACGTAAGAAGAAGATAATTCGACGCAGGCTCGCTCGCCATTCGACGACGTTTCAACGACGTCTGCCACGGAATTTCCTTCTATTGTTCGACGCTTCCTCAACGATTTATATTATTGTATTTCGCCTGAGAAATACAATGATGGGGGGGCACGTTTCACTCGATGATAAACTGCTGCCCTTAACCGTGTCACCCTCATCGTTCGACATTTGTTTCCGCCAACGATCTGGCGGCGGCTGGTTTTCCTCGTTCAACATCGTGGACACGAAGTTCTTAAGTTAAATGTCCTCTTTGCTTTGCTGCTGTAATATCGAAGGAAATCTAACGATATTATTTTTTTTATCGGATCGAGCGATGAGTGCTCTTTATTAGTAATTCAAATTTTACGATGTACCCATTCGCGGTTCGCGATGACGGTTTTACCGGCACTTATTCCTTGCCTTCGTTACAAGTGGGATGTCTCGTCGTCTCGTGGAAGAGACAATGAATTGGCATTAAATCGAAAAAGTTTCGGAGATTGATACTTATTCGTATTCTTATTTTCGAAGGAAAATTTTTTTTAAAATATACTTTCTTAGCCTAATTTTTTTAATTGTTACTTTTCCAAAAAAAGATTGTACTCACATCCTGTTTTATTTACGATTTTGCCCCCTGAAACTATTGCCGCATACAATGATGAAATTTAAATTAAAGGATTCAAATCAAGTTTTTTTCAATATAAATTTTTTTTACCATAACAACAATCAGATAAATATCGTACGGATGGAGAATTTGGAAACACGATACGAATTTCCAAGAGGAATTTCGTAAAACAGGATAACTTGAAACTCTGTTATTGGAGAGTTTAAGTTAGGAACAACACTTGTTGAATATCGGTGGTGCAAGGGAACAAAGGATCCGGGATAATGAACGTTTGGTAAGGAAATGTCTTTTTATCGCACAAGTAGCCGGTTCGTGTTGCCAACAGCTTGGACATATAGGAAGCGCCCGGTTCTCGTCTGATCATAGTAGTTAAATTGCGTTGGACACGGTT